GAGACTAAAATTGAACTCTTTTGAGTGAATGCCAGGCGTTATGTTTGGAGAAAACCAGGCACCACTTATCACCAGGCTAATACCAACTTTACAGTGAAGCATGTTGGTGGCAGCATTATGCTGTGGGGATGTTTTCCAGCAGCAGGAACTGGAAGACTAGTCAGGATAGAAGGAAAGATGAATGCAGCAATGTACAGAGACATCCTGAATGAAGACCTGCTTCAGAGTGCTCTTGACCTCAGTCTTGGGTCTTCCAGCAGGACAATGACCCAAAGCACACCACCAAAACATCAATGGAGTGGCTTCACAACAACTTAGTGAATGTCCTTGAGTGGCCCAGCCAGAGCCCAGACCTAAATCCTATTGAACATCTCTGGAGAGCTTTGAAAATGGCTGTACACCGTCACTTTCCATCCAACCTGATAGAGCTTGAGAGGTTCTGCAAAGAGAAATGGGCAACAACTCTCAAAGACAGGTGTGCCAAGCTTGTGGCATCATATTCTAAAAGACTTAAGGCTGTAATTTCTGCCAAAGGTGCATCAACAAAGTATTGAGCAAAGGCTGTGAATACTGATGTACATGTGATCTTTAAGGTTTTTTTGTAATACATTTACAACAATTTTGAAAACTCTTTTTTCACATTGTTATTATGGGGTATTGTGTGTAGAATGTTGAGGAAATAAATTAATTTAATCCATTTTGGAATAAAACTGTAACATAGGGCCTACTCACTCTATGCTATCTGAACCGTGCTCAGGCTCACTTTCCGGATTGTTTGAGAAGTGTGAGTGCGCTGAATTGGGCTCAGGCACGGTTCCCTTGGCAAGCCTTGGCCCGGTTGAAAGAGGTATGCCCGAGTGCGGTTCATAATATTTATGATTGGAATATTTGACTGCATGTCCCTGCATGTCAAACGACATAACTAAAGAAATCTCCACTGTGCTGAGCGAGAGCGCTTCTGACCAGCGCAACAGATGACGCAAGCGTGCCCAGGCTCGAATGTAATGTGAGTGAGGGCCGTCGGGGGGAGACAGTAAGGGGGACAAGCATGCTTTGGCCCGGTTCTAGCCAACTGTACAGTGTGAGTACGCTCATACACAATGTGGAAAAAGTGAAGCGCTATTCTTTCTGGATGCACTGTATATTTTATAAATCTGTATCAGCCATGAAAATTTGGTGCATTACTAAGTGTCATTAATGGTATGATGTTAAAATAAGCAGAGCAAAGTTAAAATAAAATACCCATAAAATAGCAAAAAGTGCAAAGTGTATTTCAGCCCATCCAGGAACATGTCTGAGGCCATCTAAGCGAAGTTAACCTGATTTTACCAAGTAGGAGATGTCCTGGATTAACATCTACATTGATCCTGGAACAACATTCCAATCAGCCAATCAGAATTAAGGGATACATTTACCATTTATGTTAAGTTTAAGCTTACAGTTAGGTTTAAGCACTTCTGTCATCCAACTATTATTCCCCTCTGATTTTGGGAATAATTTACAGTTATGGTTGGGTTTAGGGGTAGGGAATAGGCATGGATAAATGTTCCAGGATCAACATAGATGTTAATCAAGATGGCATTGTACTTGGCAAAATCATGGCGTGCATCTATGAGAACACAAACACACACATTAAATACACATTTGATAAGACTATTTTATAATACCAACAGCAACCAAATAACAATGGCAAGTAACAAATCATTTAAGAAATGGAAAATTGCAATAAAAGCCCTTAAGTTAAGAAATAATTAGGGATCAGTCATCTATAATTATAGATTAACTAATTATAAGAAGTTTATTAGTTTAAGGGATTCATTTCAACAAAGCCAAGCATTAAATATGTCCTGACTCCTGACCTGCCTCAACTGTCCATTTTATTATAAAAGCAGTATATAATCAAAAATGCGTTGCCATATAATCTTTGAATTATGTAACTACAACAAACATCTGACTTCCCATGATGAGTTTCATGTTAAAGTATTGTATCTCTGATTTCCTCTTTTTTTCTGTATTATTTTGCAATTCCTTCAAAAAAAAAAAAAAAAAAGACATTTCCGTTATTACATTGGGCACTTGGTGAGTGTCCATTTCGGAACTTGTATAGTCCAAACGTACTAACGCTTTGGCAAAACGGCTGGGAGGTCTAAATAACAAAACATGCACAGATTTACACACATTAACACACACCTGTGATGCAGACAGGTGTGATAAATGCCGCAGGTTACACAGATCTGCAAGTGCACACCTTCTCCCCGGTGAGACTCCCTAACATGACTAATGCGCCAAGACAGCAGCTCTGCGTCTGCACCACAGGATGATTAGAGAAAACTGTTAAGGACTTCTCTCTGAGGATAACCTTAAATCTACATGCAGATCATCCTTCAAGTTTGCTTGAAAATCAGTCCTGCATCTTTTAAGGCATATAACATCTGCAGAAAAAAATGAAAGTAAGTAATATCTCTGCAAGATATTTAACTCTACATTTCATCCTATTGCATTCTCACCCAGTGTCTCAAGATCACATCGAACATCTAAATACCTCCCATCCTGTCTTTTTAAAATTATTATCAGGGCTGCAGCTTATATTAAGTACAAAGAAGAATGAGATAAACTTTGAGATGTTATAAAAAACATCTTTAAGGACTGTTTCCATGCATTAACACAGGGCTTCGTTGTCAACGCTTGACCGAGTGCGTGAAGTTGGGGCTGATGCAATTGTCAGCAGTGTCAGCCAATGAAATTAGTCCGTAATCGGCTACTATCTGAGCTGGGGTATATGCATAAAGCAATCTGATTGGCTGACGCTTCCATTGGTGTTTGAAAAGTTAAGAAATTCCCAAATTCTGCAGCGAGGAACACCGCTGACAATAAAAACAGACCCAAACTAATATTAGTGGTTCTTAACTGCAGTCCTGGAGACTCACTGCACATTTGTATCTTCCTTATTTAACACACCTGGTTCAGTTCACCAGCTTGTTATAAGAGCCAAACATAAAAAGCAGAGTGGTGGACCCAAATAACTAGGATTAAAAACCACAGCTAATGTAAAATATAATATTTATAATATTATTCCCCTGCATGCCATATGGATGGCACAATGTAAAATTCAACAGTACGAAAATTTATTCTGGAACTTCAATACGGAATTTGAAAAATATCGATATTCAATAGCATTTTGGATACTGTGAGTAACATATTGGCCTGTCCATGTCCTATCTTGTCGATTTGTTCACAAACCAAAAACCTTCTCGACCAAAATTGGTTGAAGAGTTTCAGCACTTACCACGGATAGAGAGGAGACAGGGCTGTGTACTGTAGTGCCCTCATATCCAGAGCAGGATCATACTGTTTTAAATATTCCAGCATCAATATTTCGTCACCTTGGAATTATAAGGTTCTATCTGCGTTCTGAAAGATTTTGAGATAATGAGCTTTAAAGTTTTTGCATTCCATAGCAAACAGTATGTGTTTTTTAATTAAAAATTCTTAAAATGTAAACAACTGGGCGAAGCAGTGGCGCAGTATGTAGTGCTGTCGGCTCACAGCAAGAAGGTCGCTGGGTTGCTGGTTCGAGCCTCGGCTCAGTTGGCGATTCTGTGTGGAGTTTGCATGTTCTCCCTGCGTTTGCGTGGGTTTCCTCCGGGTGCTCCGGTTTCCCCCCCACAGTCCAAAGACATGCGGTACAGGTGAATTGTGTAGGCTAAATTGTCCTTAGTGTATGAGTCTGTGGATGTTTCCCAGAGATGGGTTGCGGCAGGAAGGGCATCCGCTGCGTAAAAAAAAACTTGCTGGATAAGTTGGCAGTTCATTCCGCTGTGGGGACCCCGGATTAATAAAGGGACTAAGCTGACAAGAAAATGAATGAATGAATGAATGTAAACAACTTAAAAATAAACATCCCATAATGTAAATAAGCTGTCATTTAATACGAATATTTCAATAACTTAATTTTGACAAAAATGTCAGAGAACCAAATAATTCTAAGGTAACGATTAATCTAAATATCAATATTTTTGACAACACTACAGCCTAGACGGCAATAATTAGACTAATCAATAATAGTACAGACCTACTTAATATTTAGATTCATGCCGTGTTTCATACCACATCTGTTTACCCAAGCTAAAATCAACAAGAATTGTTTGCCCCTGACTGACAGTTTATTCTATAGGCCTATACTACAAAGGAAATATTACGACATCTGCCCTCATGAGCTATCTGTGCATCACACATGTAATGCGCTGCAGCAGTTTACCACCGCAAAGTTCAAAAAACAACACAAAGATCTTGCAAGCCTGATAGGGATCTCACAACACCAAAGTGATGGCCATCATATACAAAAGCTCCAACCTTTAGAGCGAGACACCTTCAATACTTCAGCTGGCTGCCTTTAAAAAAAAAAAACTTACTGCACCAAATCCCTGCGACTTGCACCTTTTTACGTTCACCAGCCTCGGCCCAGTGCCCAGAGGCAGAGCGACACCATCCACACATACGACCTAGCAGGAAGATCCACTTCCTCTCAAGCAGACGCTACTCATAATGCCATGACAGCTCGCAGAAATCATAACACAGCCTCGTCTTCACATTACCTAGCACCTACTATAAATGAAGCCAGAGAGTCCGCATCGTCAAAGTGGGACTGCGTAGCGTAAAGCCAGCGTTTGTGGGCAACAGATGGGCACTGCAGCAGGTGAGAGCAGGATGCTCATATTCAGCCATCAAAAGCTTCCTCTACTCCAGACATCCTCACAGTTAAATGTTATGATGCCTGATGCTAATTTAAGCAGACACAGCATGCATTAATCATTTAGCACAATGGGAAGCAGGCAGACGGTAAAACTCTGTGCAAGATGGTATATGCAGATATGCCTCTCAATGCAGCAAGCAGATCCCGAGACGGAAAAGACAGGATTCCCTTTCGCCTGCACGGTACATTCACACGCACACATCCGCTAACGGCAAAGAGAGAGGAGCACCAGAGCTCGTCTACCCACCTCTGCCGATGCCTGATGCAGTGATTCCTGCTCGGCGAGGCTGATGAAGAGTTGGGTGGTGCAGCCAGATTCCCTCCGCCGAGCGTCAGGAACGACGACGGCAAGAGAGAAAAGGAGGGAGGGGGAGATGAGACGGGAATGGTGAGTGGGTTTATCCTCCACGCTTCCCTGTCAATGTGTGTGCCTGTATGCCTGAGTGCGTGAGAGGGGGCGGATGGGAAGGAGAGAGAGACTGAAGCGAGTCTCCCGAGACAATGCCCGTGAATAGAGACCGAGGAACACGGTAGATGCGTTAAACGCAGGGTCCCTCCCCCTTACATCACACGAACACAGCGCTCTGCACAGTCAGCTCTACATCCAACCATATGGAGGAACGACGGGTGCAAGGAGGAACGGAAAGAGACACAAGAAAGAAGACAGACGAGCATGTTTAAAATGTCTGCATAAAAGCACACTGCAATGATGTGATTGGACAGGTAGAGAGTTCTGGACATGCATTTCTTTTCTATTAAGCTGGATGATATATTTGCTGAGTCAAAGAACACATCACAGGTGTGCAGTGTGAACTATACTGGGCATCTCTTACAGGACAAACTTCATAGATTACAGTGCATTGAGCATACATCATTATATTTAAATGCTTTTTTGGTGGGATCATCAGGATTTCATTGGCTTTAAGAGCTCATATTATACATGAAAAAGGGTCATATTTTGGTTATATGGATCTCCAATAACATACTGATCTGCATGCAAGGTCAAAAAACACTTTCATGGTGTTATAATATGCATTTATTTTTACCTAATTATCCCAGCGAATCGTTCAGCAATTCATTTGTTCTCAAATCCCTCCTTAGCGCGAAGCTAATCTGCGCTGATTGGACCTATGACAGCCTGTTGTGATTGGTCGACAGTGTTCAGCGTGAGACAAATACCCGGCGCGATTTCTCAAGATCACGGTTCGCAACATTGGTATCGGATCCGATCGCAGTGAACGCCTGAAACACACTTCATAGTAAAACTTACTCAACAGTGTTATTCAGACACCTTACCACCAAAAGCAGTGTAGTCAAACACCAGCATATTGCTCCATTCTTAACCATGACACACATTCAGTATTAATCCACACAGCAGCAAAAGCTGAAGTATTCTGAACCTTGACCGCTGCACGTGTGTAGGAACAGCTGACGGTGGCCATATCAATGACAAACGGCAGTGAGACACGAGCTCACAAACTAATTTAAATCTGTAAACAAAGCGTTGCGCGTCGCGTTTAACGTGGCTTTAGACGCGATATGAGAATATGAAGAGTTAACCAGATACCGTGCAAGCGGTTACAAGTAACAAAACACAATTAAATACATCATTTGCAGGCTAGTGAAAACAAGGAGACAGCCATTCACTCACACTTATGACATTTGTCGTGGGCCAGGTCTGATTTCATTAATTATCTTGCATTTTGGAGCTTTTCTCCCTTCTCAGCTGTAGATCATTTCTATTTGCAGTTATTGCTGTGGCACCTCTTGCGTCAAGTGTTATATGTTCTCAGGGCTTCCTCATACTCTGCTTTACCCAAAGATCACATCCCCAGCCAGGGGGTTGTAGCGCTCACCAGCGCTCCTCCTCAGCTGCAGCAGGCTGACTTTGTGCCTAATAAACTGGCCTTATTTTGCACGCACCCCTGGTGTATTGTCTGTTCATTCCCACAGGTCTCATACATCAGTCTTTTCTGATCTTTCCTTTAATAAACGAATGAATCGCCCATTGTCAGCGTGTAGATTGCTGAAGCACTCCTTTCCCCTCACACTTCCAATAATATCCAGGTAAGCACAGCGTCTTCATGACTCATGATGACTTCAGGATCTGTTTGTCTTTGCTGCTGTGTTAGTTTAGTTTAGGCCGCAGGTTTAAATTTTCCCGTGTTTGCACACGCAACAATCATGTTTCGTAGTCATGTCAAGCCGAAACGGCTAAAGACTCATTATGAAGACATTTTAAAAAGGGTGCTGAAAAAGTGGTACGTACGGTTCAGTTCGGTACGCCATTTGACAGCAAAAACGGCCATGAAAGCATACCAAACCGAACTGTACCGTACCACTCAGTGAAAACAGGCCAATATATACGCTATAGAAATAAAGATGATTTGTTGGCACCAATAGTGATTAGGTGCGCCGACATATAGCACCATGGTGCTCACAGCAACCAGAGTTCGATTCCCGTCTCAAGGTCCTTTGCCGACCCTTCTCCTCTCTCTACTACCACAAACGTTCCTGTCTGTAATCTCCACTGTCTTTTCCGATTAAAGTTGGACGTGCACAAAGCAACCAGGATTAAAAGATCCGTTCAGCTGTCTGAGATCATCAGTCATCATCAAATGTGATCAAGAATGAGTTTTACAAGTTTAACACGTTTTTAAAACAGTGCTTGTGTGTAATGAATTACAGCAATTTTACTGTCTTTACTTGATCACCACAGCCTCATGTCAGTACAATTATAAAAGAAGACGCTTCAATCCCGTTTGTGGGTGTTAAATCAGGTTTATTTTGTACATTAACATAACAGATATTCATCCAGCAGCGCTGTGTATGTGTCCACTGTGTGTGTGTGTGTGTGTGTGTGTCTGTTTGCATGTGAACTTTGTAACGACATTGTGTGTGACTCTTTGTTGCAACTCCACAGCAAATACATCAAATAATCATTGGGAAAGATTTTACAGCAGTATTTCTCACAAACGTTACATCAGATCTGCTTCCTTCGTGTCTGTCACTCTGCTGTTTATCTGACACAGATTGATGCACACTCTGACAGACACGTGGGAACAGTGGGCAGGGAGAACTAGCATTAAAGGCACAGGCAACAAAAACAGCTACAGTGTGTTAAGAGCAGAAAATTATAATGTCCTGAAAGGTATAATAAATAATCTGATGGGTGCTTTGAGCTGAAACTTTATAGACACATTCTGGAGACACAAAAAACTTGTCTTAAATCTTGAAAGGGGTAAAATAGGTGGCCTTTAATACTAGTTTTTAAAAGTTTGAGCAGCATGTTTGCATCTCCTCCTGTGCTAGTTCACATCTGTAAAATTACCCCCAGGTTTTATAAAAATAAATCAACTTATTTTGATCAAATAGAGTTTTCATAAACATATTTAATCCAATGGTACCATTCCTTCATGTCAGCTTTTGCACTATGGATCCCCAACTGATTGTATTAGCGTTTGCCTGGAGCCTTGGGGACTGCAGCAACTGAAAACTACTGTGTCGCTGGTCATTGGCTCACATCCAATCTTACTACAGCAGTTCCGTTTGCCAGCTCTCTATTGCCATCTTTGCAGCGAGGAGACCATTAGGAAACGCCTCTACATTTAGCCTGAGCTCTGTCCTGACTGATCCATTTACTTTGAGTGCTAGTGGAATACAGAACAGTTCAAGTATTAATGCATTTTATTAGTCTATTAAACATTTACAAATCCACGTGTGCATATATAATGCATACTGTAAGTGGCATGAGCAAAAAGACAAACAGGATTGGCATACACTCTATAAATGGAAAAGTTGAACTGATTATAAAACTCATTTAAACATGATACAAAGTATTTGACACACAATTAATAATGTAAAAAATGTGAATTTATTTTTATTATATTATTATTTCTTTAAATAAATAAATTAATATATATATATACAGTTGAAATCTGATTTATTAGCCCTCCTTTTAATTTTTTTTTCTGATTTAAATATTTCCCAAATAATGTTTAACAAAGCAAGGAAATTATTACAGTATGTCCGATAATATCCTTTCTTCTGGAGAAAGTTTTAATTGTTTTATTTTGGCTAGGATAAAAGCTGTTTTTAATTTAAGGACAATATTATTACCCCCTTTAAGCTATATATTTTTTCAATAGTCTACAGAACCAACCATCAGTATACATTAACTTGCCTAATTACCCTAACCTGCCTAGTTAACCTAATTAACCTAGTTAAGCCTTTAAATGTCACTTTAAGCTGTATAGAAGTGTCTTAAATAATATCTTGTCATCATGGCAAAGATAAAATATATTGGTTTTTAGAAACAAGTTAGTTAAACTATTATGTTTAGAAATGTGATGAAAAAATCTTCTCTCTGTTAAACAAAAATTGGGGGAAAAAAAATAAATAGGGGGGCTGATAATTCAGGGGAGCTAATAATTATGACCTCAACTGTTTGTGTGTATATACTATATAAATATTAGAGCTGCACAATTAATCGTAAAAAGATCGCGATCTCGATTTGACCCCCTAGACGATCTTAATCCGGCATTTCTATGATTCTGTCAATCATATTTTCAGGTAAAATTAAAAGTACAGCTCATATGTCTTGCTGCTTGTATTAAACGACAAAATTGTATTACAAATAATATATAAATATTTTTTATTTAAAAAAAAATTATTGTGCTGTGAAGAAAAAATCTAATTATGTATAGAAAGTAGGGCTGCCCGATTTTGGGAAAAATCATAATCACGATTATTTTGGTCATAATTGTAATCACGATTATTTAAAACGATTACTGTTAAAGTCAAAATTATTAGCGCTCCTGAGATATTGTTTTTTTTTTTTAAATAAATATTTCCCAAATTATGTTTAACAGAGCAAGGAATTTTAACAGTATTTCCTATAATATTTTTTCTTCTAGGCTTATTTGTTTTATTTTAGCTAGAATAAAAGCAGGTTTAAATATTTTGAAACCCATTTTAAGGTCAATATTATTAGCCCCCCTAAGCAATATATTTTTTGATTTTCTGCAGAAGAAACTACTGTTATACAATGAACTGCTTAATTACCCTCATTAAGCCTTTGAATTGCACTTTAATCTGAATGCTTGTATTTTGAAAAATATCTAGTAAAATATTATATACTGTCATCATAGCAAAGATAAAAGAAATCAGTCATTAGAAATGAGATATCAAAACTATTATGTTCAGAAATAAGTAAAAAAAAACTTCTTTCCATTAAACAGAAATTGGGCAGCAAAAGGGTTGCTAATATTTAGGGGGGCCAATAATTCTGACTTCAAATGTACATACAGTTATTTTCCAACCTGCAAAGGAAAGAGAAATAAATACAACAGAATAAAAATATTTAGATTGTGCTTTAAGCATCTTCACTGTAAGAAAAACACTTTAGCTACAAAAATCCTTCAGTCAAGAGCAGAGAGGGATTTTCTCGTTTTGTTTGATTAATGATAAAAACAGGCGGCAGCAGGAATATTTCGCGCTGTCTCTTTAATGGTTTCTCTTTCACTCGTCTTTTGATTCTCAACTCGTTTGTTTATTACACAAATGAGGGTTAATATGAATAATCACTAAACACCGCGTTTTGACACCTATTTGATCATTAAAGCGCTCACATTAAGATGATTTTAGATGTCTGCGCTCCTCTGCTCGTCTCAGTGTGCGAATGAGACTGAATGCTGCCCGGCCGAATGCTTCGGGCTGTGTGTGCTTGCCGCACACACACATAAGCACGCCGTCTTTCGGCCTTTTAAGAGCAACAAACGTGTACAGCTGTAAAGGGGGTGGTATATGATGCAATAATTGTTTATCTTGATTAATGTTTTTTCATAATCGTTTGAAGCCAAAATCGAAATCGGATTTTCGATTAATTGCACAGCCCTACCCGTGAGAACAGCACAGTTATACCGTTAACAGATTCATTCATGTCAAGCAGTGCGTGCAGGGCCGGTGA